ATGGATGGATGGATGGATGGATGGATGGATGGATGGATGGATGGATGATGACCAAATAATGTCTCTGCTCCATAACAGCTGAACTGGCTATAGTTAGAGTGGATGAATTTCGCTGGGGAAATACAAGATGCATTCATGAGAGAGCAGAGCAGAGAATTAGGTGGATTAAGGGAAAGGTGGTAAGGGATAGAGAAGAGCATGGACTTGGTGGAGGAGAAAGCTGACAAAGGTGGTGTAAACGGGTTGGAAATAGGAAGGGCATAGAGGACAGAGTTAGAAATGATTCATTCTAATAGACATGGATAGAAAAAGGTGAATAAATCTCTTGAAAGGAAAAAGAGAAGAGCGAGGTCTTAGTGGTGATACTTTCAGCATGATAAGTAGACATACGGAAGTAAAGAGGGATTGTGAGAATGCTTCCCCTGGGAAAAACTGCAGGAGCATTGGCAGGGAAACCCCAGCTGCAGTGAAACAAGATTAATTCCTCCACACTCCACTGAAAGCAGTCTTATCTCTACACCACTTGCATGTCATCACCAGGCACAAGTCCTTCTCCCCAGCTAAGAGACATCCAAAACCAAGCTAAACCTGGGAAGAACTGAGCTTTGGGCACCCTCCATGCAGGTCCACACGGTACCAGGATGCTGAGCACCAACAGCATACAATGGCTGCAGCAGCACATGACTTGAGTCCTATTCAACTCAACCCTCCCCATCCCAGATGTTGCCGCTGCAGGGAAGCTGTGGCCACTGCAGCAGCAGTCATAGCTCTGCAAAATGCAAAGCCAAAGAGCAAGACTTCAGCCTCCAGCACAGCAGGAGCCATCATGTGCTTCCCTTCACTGGCTGCTGAAGGCCTGTGTGAATGTATAGCAAATGAATGCCTTTTATATAGCAAAATTATATGTTTTTGCAACAGCAATTCAGTACAGAAAATGATAAATTTATCAGAAATAGGCCTAGCGTAGAAGGTTAGCTCTTAAAACACAGGGAACAGAACAATAGCATATTGAAAGGAAGAGCCTGCTCTCCTATATTAAACTTACCATACGTATACTTACATTTGCAGATGCACTTCCTACATTTTCTGAAGGGATTGGCTGGTGGGGAGCATCTAAAAAAGCATCTAAATGAACTCTGCTTCCAAATGTTCCTGCCTGCTGACACTGAAACGGGGAGAATACACGCTAGCTCTGATATCCCATAAAGTAGCCCAGGCGTCCTAATAATTCACACGAAAATGATTTTTGGCCTCACTGTGCTTTATGTGCATAACCAATGCAAGGCACATGAAAATAACCCATTGCCAGCACGCTTCTGGACACAAGATGTGTAAGCCCAGGAAGAGAAGTAATTAGGCACTCAGACACTGGAAGGTAAGGCAAATCCAGTAAGTCCAGCGGCTCTGGGATAGCGCTGGAAGAGGTGGTTCTCTCCTCACCAAGGCTGGGGTGGGCTACCTATGTGCACAAGAGACCTCAGCCTCTGGACATACAGCCAGCTTGGTGCCATCACTGTTGGTTCAACAAGGGAAGGGCAGAGCCTCTTCTCTGAGGGAGCTCGTGCCTCTGATCACGCCGCTTCCCCTGGGGCAATGTTAGTCACAGCTGGAAGGTCACAGCTTGTTGCAGTGATTGAGCACCTGGTGGGAAGGCAGGGCCAAGCCAAGGGAGCTCAGGTGTATGCAATGTACTGAGTGATTGGAAGGGGAGGAACCAGGATCCACCCCTTTCCAGCCCTCATTTAAAGCTTGGCAGTGGAGGTGAGAGTGTCTGTATGGAGGTCTCTGTATGCTTTTGGTCTTCTAAAGGTAAGTAATTTTTCTTACTTTTTCTTCACTGTGTCTGTAGCTGCTGCTTTTGGGTTTGTCCTTGTTTGTTGTAGCCTGGGTCTTTGTTATGCTGCTATTATTGCTGTTTCTGTCACATTATAGCTTTATACTTAGCAAGCCAGGCAGATGCTCATTTACAATGGATTATCTTTAAAAAAAAAACAAATAAAAGTTATCCATTGGATTGTCGCTCGGACCCCAAATACACCAAAAGAGGAACTCCCAGTTCTGGATTCTCCATGGCTATGTGCCATACAGATTATTGAAGAATGGGAGCCAGTAAGGGACAGTGGCCTCTTCATTAAATCCCCTTCAAAAATGGCTTTTTAGGTATATATGATAAAACTTTTTGACAGCTGAGGAAAGAATAGTAGCAGCAGCCACCTTGCCATGGTAGATGCTGCTAGCTGGCTATCTTGCCGTGTATATCATTCCTTGGAGGAAGAATTGAAAGGTGAAACAAGTTTTAAAGGCCTGTGTTAGTCAAATGGTCTTAAAATTATATCTTTGACAGAGCTAACTGCCTTCCCTTTAACTGGATTTTCCCCTCTGGAATTAAGACCCATATAATTGAAGGGGATAAGAACTTAGGTAAGCAGGATCCTTGGATCC